TTTATTCCCTCTTAATCTGAGAATGGGTTAAAAAACAGAAAATGATTTTGAAAGAATTCAGATTATTTGACCATCTTTTTCTGAAATCCTGTGGTAGAATAATGTATTAGGTAAGAAATGTTCTTGAATATGTGTAATTTTCACATAGGAAGGAACATCAGCGGTAGAGAATTTGAATGAAATGCAGTGCATGTGGTTCCAGACAGAATGTGCCCAGGCTTATAAGACAATGAATAAATTTGGTGAAGCACTTAAGAAATGTCATGAAATTGAGAGAGTAAGTACCCTGAACATATGAGTTTTTTATTTTAATTCTCTTAAATATTAAAGATTTGGGGTCAATCCTATTGTTTTTTCTTTTCTCTTTATAAGTTACAGTAAGTGATTTCTAAATATTAGTATTTACATTTTTCAGTTTTTATAATGGAAACTAGAGGTCCAGTGCATGGAATTTGTGCATAGGGGGTGGATGGGGATCTCTCAGCCCAACCTGCACCCTCTCCAATCAGGGAGCCCTCAGGGGATGTCCTACTGACAGCTTAGGCCCACTCCTTGTGGTTCTCTGCTGTCTGCGGGGCCCACTTGGCTGCTCCTGGGTTGCTGTGGGCGACGGCCAAGCAGGCCCTACTGTGCGCTGTCTGCGGGTCTTGCGTGGCCGCTCCCGGGTCACTGCGGGCGACAGCCAAGCAGGCTCTGTTCTCAGCGGCCGCCCCCAAGACTTGGAGGACTCCAGCGGGGCTGAAAGGACTGGATGCTGCCATCTTTTGTGTTGGAGTGATGGTTAATTTGCATATTACTCTTTTATTAGATAGGATATTATAGACTGCATTTTCTGCAGACTTTCCCATTGTCTACTCCTCCTGCAAGAGTTCATGTAAAAGTATTTATGGAAAGTTTGTATCTTATGTTTTCATTGATTTTTTTAATGTTTCTTTGAAATAGCTGCTGTTCCTTTAATAACACAAAGTTCATTAAGTTATCCTAGAAACCTGTTTGTCATAGATTTGATTAGGGATACCATATTCCCTTGACATTTATGAGATGGGAGCTTAGAAGCCTTTTTACAATATTTGAATAGCCTATGTAATGCCTCATTTTTTATAAATTCATTGTTTTTGTAGTCCTCTTCACTTTTGATTATTTTTTGTGTTTTATTTCCAGATAAAAATAGGCTATATAATTTCATGCTTGTTTCGTTAAGTAAAGAACCCCAGAGCTTAGTTGAATTGTGTTAGTTTCTGATTGCTTGATTTACTTTCTAATTGATTTCTACATACTAGCATTACTATTTCATAGCATTCAGATTTGTATCCTTATAAAAGTTACCAGATACTGAATATTATAATACTTAGCAAATTGTTCTAAATGTAAAAACTGAATGTTTATGCAAATCTTACTATATTACATCATTATGTATACGTTTGATTTGTCATGATAGCTTTATTTAAGTACTAGAGGCCAGATGCACGAAATTTGTGCAAGGGGCTCAGCCCTTGAAGCCCTGTCTGCCTCAGCCGGCCCTTGCAGCCCCTCACAGCCTCGGCTGGCCCTTGCAGCCCTGGCTTTGCCCAGAAGGTTGTCTGGACGGTTGTCCTGCTATTTGGTCTAATTAGCATATTAGCTCTTTATTATATAGGATTATTAAGGAAGGAATAAATATGTTTTAAAGCGTTGTGTTTCCTTTTCATCCAACAAGTAATTCAGTGCTTTGTATGTGCCATATGTTTTGCTAATTGGTGATGGCCAATTATATTTGCTTATTTGCAAAATGTTTAGTATATTGAATGATTGTAACTTTTTATGTTATTTTACTAATGTTTTTATGCTTAGGACATAGGTAATTTCAAGGCTTTGAGTTTTGTTGTTTTCTTTGGTATTGCTCTATTTCAATATAATAAAAAAGACAATTTTGTTAGCATTTTATAGAAATCACTGATGACCAGTTTGACTTTCATACATACTGTATGAGGAAGATTACCCTTAGATCATATGTGGACTTATTAAAACTAGAAGATGTACTTCGACAGCATCCATTTTACTTCAAGGCAGCAAGAATTGCTATAGAGATCTATTTGAAGCTTCATGACAACCCCCTTACAGATGAGAATAAAGAACGTGAAGCTGATACAGGTATGGTATGATATACAAAGAACTCTTATTGTTTGCTGTGGTATGAGTATGTGTATTTATGTTTTTGTGTAATATATAAATTTTTCCTGAGCAGTTTCTTAAGCATTCTCTGGGAAGATATTATAACTAGCCCTTCACATCTGTGGGTTTTGCATCTGTGGATTCAACCAAACATGGGTTGAAAATAATGAAGGGGGCCCTGGCTGGGTTGCTTATTTGGTTGGAGCATCATCCCATGTTAAAAAAGGTCCTGGATTTGATTCCTGGTCAGGGCACATAAATGGATTGTAGGTTCAATCTCCAGTCAGGTGCACAGGAGGCAACCAATCAATGTTTCTCACATTGGTGTTTCTCTCTCTCTCCCCCTTCCTCTCTCTATAAAAATCAATAGGATCATATCCTTGGGTGAGAATTAAAATAAATAAACAAATAAATAAGTGGGAGATCCCAGAAAGTTTCAAATAGTAAAACTTGAATTTATCACGTGCCAAGCACTAAACTGAACCCATGTAAATGAAGTGATGTTTGGTTATACCATGTTGTAGCCTATATGCAAATACTGCTTCATTATATAATGGACTTCAATATCCGGGGATTTTTATATCTGGGGGCGATCCAGAGGATACTGAAGGTATACATGCTTAGAAAATGATGACAGTCACTTTTGTGAATTTCTCTAAGCAACAAAAGAAAAATACTGTTCCCTTAGCCCCCTGGTCGGCAAACTGCGGCTCTCGAGCCACATGCGGCTCTTTGGCCCCTTGAGTGTGGCTCTTCCTAAGCCTTAGGAGTACCCTAATTAAGTTAACAACAATGTACCTACCTATATAGTTGAAGTTTAAAAAATTTGGCTCTCAAAAGAAATTTCAATCGTTGTACTGTTGATATTTGGCTCTGTTGACTAATGAGTTTGCTGACCACTGCCCTAGCCTGTTTCGCTTAATGGATAGAGCACCTGCCTGCGGACTGAAGGGCCCCAGGTTTGGTTCAGGTCAAGGGCACATCCCTGGGTTGTGGGCTCAAATCCCCAGTTGGGGCCTGCAGGAGGCAGCCGATCAATGATTCTCTCCCTTCCTCTCTAAAATCACTAAAAATATATTTTTTAAAAAAGAAAAAATACTGTTTACTTTATACTTTCAAAAGTTAAGTAAGAATTTAATTTGTAACTGATCATTAGCTTTTAAGAAGTTTACTTCCGTGAGTTTTACATTTAATAATTGGTTTATTCAATATTGTAAATTGCTAGCTCCAGTACTGTAAATTGCTAACTATATAAATAATGTTGGCATTCTACATTAATATTGACTGCCAGTATGTCTAGTTATTCCTCTTATTTTTTTTAAAGAGCCAGACCCCCTTTTAAAGATATATTTATATTTCATTGATTTTTTACAGAGAAGGGAGAGGGATAGAGAGTTAGAAACATCAATGAGAGATTAACATCGACCAGCTGCCTCCTGCACACTCCCTACTGGGGATGTGTCTGCATCCAAGGTACATGACCTTGACCGGAATCGAACCTGGGACCTTTCAGTCCACAGGCCAATGCTCTATCCACTGAGCCAAACCGGTTAGGGCTAGTTATTCCTCTTTTTAATAATTTGTAATTAACCTACTAAACGATGAATATTGCTTGAAAATTAAAAGCCAGCTTGGAATTAAGCTACTAAAATTGTTCAGTGACTTATCATTTGACCAGTTTTTAATATGCCTTTTTAAAAATTATATATTTTTATTGATTTCAGAGAGGAAGGGAGAAGGAGGGAGAGAGATAGAAACATCAATGATGAGAGAGAATCCTTGATCACCTGCCTCCTGCACACTCGCAACCCGGGCATGTCCCCTGACCAGGAATCGAACCATGCCCTTCTTCTGGTTTATAGGTTGACACTCAACTACTGAGCCATACCGGCCAGGCTTAACATGCCTTTTTTTAAAAAATATATATTTTATTGATTTTTTACAGAGAGGAAGGGAGAGGGATAGAGAGTTAGAAATATCGATGGGAGAGAAACATCGATCAGCTGCCTCCTGCACACCTCCTACTGGGGATGTGCCCGCAACCAAGGTACATGCCCTTGACCAGAATCAAACCTGGGACCTTTCAGTCCACAGGCTGATGCTCTATCCACTGAGCCAAACTGGTTAGGGCAACATGCCTTTTTCATGGCAGGGTGTCAGTATATGTAGGGAGAAATCTTGCTTAGATGATTATTTGGAAAATAACCTCAGAATGAAAATAATCTAGCATACATGTAGAAAGATATAAATTAATTGTACGTCCAAATACTTTGTGACTCATGACAAAAATGTTACAGGAGTTGAGGTATAAAGAGTGTGTCAGATTTTTTTCTTCAATCCTAAATTTATTTCTCTTCTGATGTTACAGTTGGTTGCATTGTATATCCTACTGCTAAATAACTTTGGATTTTTGTTGTTGTTAATTCATTATTAAATTTTATTTCCTGTTAGGCAAGAACAGTTTAGAAAGTTCTAAGGTCACACATTGAAATCATTGTACAGATTTCACTAGAATCTGTTGCTACCTGTTGTTTCTTCAAGTACAAAAAAAATACCAGTAAGATTCTACAGGACAATTTACAGTTGAAGCTGAGAGCTGAGATCCCCTGACTTTTTTGTTCACACATCCTGGCTTTCTACTCTTCCTCATATTGTACAAATAATACACAATTAACTATACAGCATTGAAACAATTCAGAAATATCCTTAACAAATATAGAAATCTTTCACTTTCCTCCTACCCAAAGGTTATCTCCTTTCAAATGGTTATCCCTATGAAAGGTGCAGTTTCCTTTATACACAATTTTTAATTTCCAGAGCTTTATGTATACATATACTTTACACATTCATTTTAGGATGGTTCTTTGTATTTGCCCTTGATCGGAATTGAACTTGGGACCCTTCAGTCCATAGTCTGACCCTCTGTCCACTGAGCCAAACCAGCTAAGGCTCATTGTCATTTTTTAATTTACCATTAGTTCATCAGCAAATATTTCGTGTTTTTTGTGTATTTTGGTATGCTGTGAGGCCCTGAGAATACAAAGATTACAAATAAGACGCAGTCTCTGCCACCAAGTTGCTCAGTCTAAATCAGAAACAGATGTATTCATCAAGTTTTGTGACAAGCAAAATACAGGGTGGGGAAAAGTAGGCTTACTGTTGTGATTACATGAAACTGTATTCTTGTATTATTACTTATTAATAATTTTATTTTCCATACGAACAACTGTAAACCTACTTTTGCCCCATTCTGTTATTAATCAAATAAAGCAACAATGCTTTATTTGTCAGTGGCAGCACAGAGTGGAGAATGAGTTTGACAAGGTTAGAGAAGGCATGGCTAGGAGAAAGCATAGTACAAAACCATAGAGATATGAAACAGCTTGTTATATTCCTAGAATTGTTACGTAGTTTAATATTGCTGTAGGAACTTTTATGCTTTGCTGTGGTTACAGCACCAAGTCTCCTTCTGTTTTCAAAATTTTTTTTAAGCCGTTACAGGGTTTTCTATCAAATTGTGGAGCCATTAAAAGGCTAGGTACACATTGGCATATAAACATGGATAATGTAATATTTATGGGAGTTTGTATGGGAATATTTAGTAATAATTGATCATTACTAATCTGATTAATAGGCTTACAATTCTGTTAATTAACACTTATTGCCTACAGCAAACATGTCTGACAAAGAACTAAAGAAACTACGTAATAAACAAAGAAGAGCTCAAAAGAAAGCCCAGCTAGAGGAAGAGAAAAAAAATGCAGAAAAAGAAAAGCAGCAGAGAAATCAGAAAAAGAAGAAGGATGACGATGATGAGGAAATTGGAGGTCCAAAAGAAGAACTTATCCCTGAGAAACTGGCCAAGGTACTTGATACTAGTGTTTATAGCACAATTGCGTGAAGTTTCATGACCAACTATTGTCATTTTAAAGTATCTTAGTCAATCATTTTGTTATAGATTTTAGAGCAAAAAATTATTTTTCAGTTTAGTCATCTTCCTTTTTTTTTCCTTGATCACATTTCACATTTAAAACTTGAAATAACGATCCTGATCCAGCGTAGTCTAGATCAGCAGTCGCCAACTGGTGGTCTGAAATGTTGTTGACTGCTGGTCTAGATGGTGTAGTGGAAAGTTTGGGCTTTTGAGTCATTCTGATCTGGGTCCACATATCAGTTCTTACATTTCATTGTGTGTCTAGGACCCTATGTCTAACCTCTCTGATGTGTTTTTTTTTTCATTTGTAAATTGGGACTAGAAGAATTCTCTACTAGGAAGAGATGTTAGGGCTAGCGAAAATATATGTATAAAGAATATAGTGTCTGTTGTAAGTGGAAACATGCATGCTTTTATATCTAGGCAGCTTTTTTAAAAATAATGTTTTTATTGATTTTTTTTTTTTTAAGAAGAAGGGAGAGGGAGAGAGATAGAAACATTGATGAGAGAGAAACATCAATTGGCTGCCTCTTGTAAGCCCCTTACCTTGGTAACAAGCCTGCAACCTGGGCTGTGCCCTGACTGGGAATCAGCGGGTTTCCTCTTTGTTCATGGGTCAACACGCAACCTCTGAGCCACACTGGCAAGGTTTTATATAGGGAATCACTTGTTAAAAAGTGAGTTTTATATGTGTATCTTTAACCCATGTTGTCAGTTTACAGTATTTCTTCATCGGACTTTGCTATTTATTTATTTATTATTATTTTTAATATATTTTTATTGATTTCAGAGAGGAAGGGAGAGGGAGAGAGATAGAAACATCCATGATGAGAATCATTGATCGGCTGCCTCCTGCATGCCCCCTAATGGGTACTGAGCCCGAAATCTGGGCATGTGCCCTTGACCAGAATCGAACCTGGGACCTTTCAGTCCGCAGGCCCATGCTCTATCCATTGAGCCAAATCAGCCAGGGCTAGACTTTGTTATTTAAACCTAATATCTTAGCTGAAACCAAGACAAGCTAGTCATTGTCACATGAGCCATTTTGATTAATAACATACCTATGCAGTTTCTCTTGTGGCCCTTGACATCTTCCTACTCCGTGTAAAAGTAATTGCATAATTTCTTATATTAAAGCAATATAGTAATGAGGACATTGCCCTAGGGTTCAGTTTTAGCCTTACTAGTAAGTAAAAATTCAAAAGTCGTTGGATGCTTTAAAACTAAGGAAAATTATAATACCAAACAAATAGAGTTAGAAAATAGTTTTAGAAGTATACCAGAGAAGATGGACAGTAATATAGCATTATTGCTATTTAAGTACTATATAGAAATCTAGCTTGGATTTCATAAATATATATTGACACCTTTTCACGAATAATTGTATATATTCTAGGAAAAAAAAGATGTTACTTTTTTATTGTTTGGGGGAATTTATTTGAAGGGTATACAGGGAAGTAAGTAAACAAAGAAAATTTTAGGCCTTTTAGGCTTTTGCCGGCTTTGCTTAGTGGTTAGAGCATTGACCTGCTCACCAGAGGGTCGCAGGTTCGATTCCGGCCAAGGGCTCGTACCTGGGTTGCAGGTCTGATCCCTGCCCCTGGTTGGGGTGCGTGTGGGAGGCAACCAACTAATGGATGTGTCTCGCTCACAAAGATGTTTCTCTCTCTCCCTCCCTCCCTCCCTCCACCTCTCTCCCCCCCCTTTCCACTCTCTCGAAATGAATGGAAACAATATCCTCACTCTCCCAGTGAGGATTTAAAAAAAAGAAAGAAAGAAAATTGACCTTTTAGGCCTCATGGAGAGCTGCAAAGTTATTCAGGGATAATATCAGCTTCAGGGGCTTTCCACTTTTATCCTCAGCTTTCTTTATTACCACTACTTTACTACCATAACTGACTGCCTGCCATCATTATTCTTTCTACTTGCTTTCTCTCTACCCCATGACTTTCCTTAATGACTTTTTTCTTTGTAACTCTTCACATCTTGCATTATAGGTCTTAAAAGAGAGGATCTATTTGGATTGAGTACCCCCACAAAGCAGAATTCTGTACCAGGCCTCCTTATAGACTATAGGGTTTGCCTTGTGTCAAGCCTGTTATGGCTGGTTTGGGGCCAGATGTCAAGTTGTAATCTAATCTTGTAGAGTCTCAGAACAAAATAATGCCTACAGAATGTGCTTCATTTGGAAGAAGCCTGGTGGAAGGGACTCAGTTTCATAGACTGTTCTTCAGTATTATACTATTCTTACCTATTAGGCACATAACACTCTTCCTAGAATAACTGCTTCCAAGATGCCCCCCCATCTAATATCAACCACATTTATCCATATCCTCAATGTGGTTGCAGTGCCAAATTACATCAAGCTGTCAAAACCAGAGCTGGCATTGTAGGCCACTTTAAAAGCACCTGCCATGTCTGGGCCTATGATCTCTATTTGCTTTTTTGTGATCCTATATTTCAGCATTCTTACCTGTGATAAATGGTAAGTTTAGTGTCTCCAGTTGAGGATGATATATAACAGCGGTTCTCAACCTGTGGGTCACGACCCCTTTGGCAGTCGAACGACCCTTTCACAGGGATCGCCTAAGACCATCCTGCATATCAGATATTTACATTGCGATTCATAACAGTAGCAACATTACAGTTATGAAGTAGCAACGAAAATAATTTTATGGTTGGGTCACAACATGAGGAACTGTATTTAAAGGGCCAGAAGGTTGAGAACCACTGATATATAACATAAAAGCATTACTAAGTTAGTAATTCCTTTTAAGGAGAAAAGGAAAATAGGAAGAGGTTTAGTTAGTGAGTTTCATACTCAGTTAATGGAATATAAAATCTAAAGTCTTGGAGGACACTGTGTTTCTTGTTTCTCCAAACTGTCACTGGGTAGTAGTTGGCATTTATGAGTTCTCTCATGCACCACCCCTCCCATGTCTCTCCTTGCCTTCAGCCAGCATTCATCTCAGCTGGATTTTTCTTCCCTATTGTGCACGCACACGCATTCCTTATCAGGGGTAATGAGTCCTTAGTATTCTGTCTGTATAGAGTTTAATAGTTTTTAAACTTTTTGTTGTTATGCTGAGAATGTAGGGAGATATACTCCTGCACAACGTATTTTAACACAGATTAGATTTCAGGTTAGTTTGTAAATTAATATGATCAAAACTGCCCTTGCAAATAAATGTCTTACATTGACCATCAATACAGTTACATTCGACATTTGTTTAAGTAAATTCAGATCTTCATGACTGAAGGTGAATTTTCTTTGAGGCAAAAAAGAGTATGAATAATGCTGGCAATTCTATCCATTACTCCACTCAGTAAACATAGGGACCCCAACTGAGTCTGAGGGGATTTCGGTTAGTATAATGCTTGTATTTATTCAACTTCCCTATATTCCTTGTCGTCGTCCCCCCCCCCCCCCTTTTTTTTTTAAATCCTCACCTGAGGATATGTTTTTCATTGATTCGAGAGAGAGAGAGAAAGAGAAACATAATGTGAGAGAGAAACATTGATCGGTTGCCTCCCATATGTACCCTGGTATGGTCCCTGAACAGGTCACGGGATGATGTTCTAACCAACAGCCACACCGGCCAGGGATGTTTCTGTGTTTCAGTAGCAGCCATATCTAAGTGATCCTCATTTCAGTCATGAAAAGCTTGATGTAAACCTGTGGCAATTTCCGTTTCCAGTTCTTTTCCTTTCGTTGGTAGATGTTTCTTCACTGTATACCACAAATTCCAACTCAGTAGAACTTAGAATCATGGGAATAAGAAGTAAAATATTTACAAATGTGTGAGAAAGGTATACTTATGAGAGCCCCTATTTCCTCCTTTATTTCTTAGTATCTGTAGCTGTTAGAGTGGTAGTACCATGTATTGATTTCTGGTTTAGAGCATGTATCCTTCAGAATAATGCCAGCTGCTTTACCTGCTGGTACAAGGCAACTCCCATAGATAACACTTCATTGCTTACCTTTATTTTTAAATGCTGTGAAATAATTTCCTTGGCCAGTTTGTGTACAATTGGCAGGTGCATGTTGGGTGGATAGGGCGAATCCATATTCCAATGAGGATAAATTGTCACCGCTTCTATGATGAGAGAGGGCAAATATAGAACACAGATGTTCAGTGCTCTTCTGATGTATATGGTATTGCTCTACACTCTTACCCCAGTTTACAGAAAATAGTCTTGTCTTACTATTCAGTTTAAGAGTATAACACTAGCACAGATATATAGTAAACATTATACCTGTCCAGTAATGATTACAAGTATGTAATTCATATGACATTTATATAATTTCTAAAAGGTGGTAGAAACAGAATTCTATAAATATAAATCTTTTTCAAATGCCATCTCACCATTAATATGGTATTTGAAAAATATGGATTTCTGTAGAATTTGTAGTGGAACAAAGCAAGACAGAATGGATATTATACTATTTTTTTAATAGCTTGATTATACTCACTTTGAGTTAAAAAACAATATTCACTCATTCTGTAATGATCTCTACAGTGTTTTTCATACCCCTTTATCCTATTTCACATCTCCCTTCTTTTTCCCCTCAATGGTTATCTTCCCTGTTTCTCTTACTGTCTTTCTTTCCCTGGTTCTATTTATTGTATTTTCTTCCTTACTTGTTGGATAGTTTCTATCCAGAGGTAATATAATCTCTATGGTTAAAATCCACTGTAGAGTTCAAAATCTCCCTTCTTCAGATTATGGGAATTTTAATATGACAGCTATTCTTGGGTGAGCCCCACCCCTCCAATCTTGTTTCCATTTGTATAATCTCTTTTATTTTTGTTAGGTTGAAACTCCATTGGAAGAAGCTATTAAATTTTTAACACCGTTGAAGAACTTGGTGAAGAACAAGATAGAAACTCATCTTTTTGCCTTTGAGATTTACTTTAGGAAAGGTAGGCAATTAGGATATAGTGGCCCTGATAACATTGATCACTGTATTTCTTAGATATAGTCTCCCAACTCCGATAGCCTCACCACTGTTTGGCAAATTCCAGTTCAGCTTGCCTGCTATGCACGAAATGTGGGGAGGTACAAGGATACGATTATCTCTTCTAGGACATTAAAATCACAATAGATGTAAATGCTTAACTAGGATTAGGGTCAGATATAGTAGCTCCTATGTACGTCTGTGGATAAAATTAGTTAATACATGTAGAACTTAGAATGGTGTCTGGTACACAGTAATCATTAATAAATGTTAGCTATTGTTAAAAATAGAAGATGTGATGCTTTAGGTGTATTTTGAAGGGTGGCTCCTATTTCTGAAAGAAAAGATGTATAGAAGGGAAGAGGCTTTGTTAAGAAAACACAAGTGTGTGTAAATAGGGTAATGTTGAGGTTGGCTATATTGCCTGAGCCAGTAAAATATAAATGGGAGGTCTTGGTTGCCAAGTTTAGAATGCTTATACTATATACTAGAGGCCCATTCCACAAAACTGAAAGGAGAGGGCCTAAGCCAGCAGGTGGACATCCCTCTTGCAGTCCGGGACCCCTTGCTCCTTACCACCCACCTGCTCACTGTTTCTTAATGCTCGGCTTGCTGCTTCTTAGCATTGCCGTGGAGGTGGGAAAGTGTCCCGCCACCCCCGCTGCCCTCACCAGCTGTGAGCCCGGCTTCTGGCTGAGTGGCGCTCCCTCTGTGGGAGCACACTGACCACCAGGGGGCAGCTCCTGTGTTGAGTGTCTGCCCCCTAGTGGTCAATGCACATCATAGCAACCAGTTGTTCTGGTTGTTCCTCCATAATGGTTGCTTAGGCTTTTATTATATAGAAGATAATAGATACTAAGAAGATTTTATGGTGTTGAATTGGAGTAATCCCAGTGGTTTATTGAAAAAGAAAATTTTATCATTAAGGTGATGCGTTTTGAAGGGAGACAAACTGGTTAGTAAGATCCAATAGAAGGTTGTTTCCAAACAGTGTAACTGTCCTAAAAAAGACTGAATAAAATGACACCTCTATAGAGTATCCATTAAAAATCATGTTTACCAAAAGTAATTTGTAATGTTAGGGAAAGGTTGCCATATATAATTGTTTGAAAATAGGACATAAAACTAACTATAGCTTGATTTTCATTTTAATAAGATACTTACAGGGGTATGTACCATCGAAAAGTGGCCAAGCAGAAATTGATAAAAGATAACAGAGATTATCTGTAGGTGGAATTTGAATGACTAAAATATTTTCTACTATATTTTCTATTTTCTACAATGATTATGTTATAATTTGGAAACTAAGTTTAATAAGTAGTACAGTAATTTTAAACTTTAAACAGTTACTGCAACTCCCTTTAAACCAGTACTTTTAAATCAGTCCCAAAGTATAAAATGCAACAGTTGTTGTTCTTAGAGTGGGGAAGGGCAATCTAAATTCCATTCACTTGGCTTCTTGGCTATGCTCTAACCTCTGAAGGGCTCTCAGCATTGACAGTCCACTGCAGGAGAGTGAAATGGGCCATGACAAAGGGCATGGCAGTGCTTTTAGCTTTCTGAGTGTTGAGGGTAAGGGAAAAGAAAATGTCAGAGAAGCCTGGGGTTTTGAATTTTGATATTTGGAGAATGGTACCAAATTAGGGAAATCATAACAAAGGTATTCATAGATGATAGAAGTGCAGGGAGTATTCTGCTGCAGATTTCCATTCAACAGGTTGAAGCACTGCTGAAGCCTGGGAACATGGGGGTAGAGGGTGAGTGGGGAACAGCATAGATAGAGATTAGAACATCACTGAAAACTCTACCTTTCAGGGGGAAGAAGAGCCAGGGATTGACAGGAGAGAACAGTCAGGTAGGAAGGAAACCATTACACATGTGAGGAAACACAAGAAAGGAGATAGTTTTAAGCATATAAACAATGATTTTTTAAAAATATATTTTATTGTTTTTTTACAGAGAGGAAGGAAGAGGGATAGAGAGTTAGAAACATCGATGAGAGAGAAACATCGATCAGCTGCCTCCTGCACACCCCCTACTGGGGATGTGCCCACAACCCAGGTACATGCCCTTGACCGGAATCGAACCCGGGACCCTCCAGTCCGCAGGCTGACGCTCTATCCACTGAGCCAAACCGGTTTCGGCTAAACAATGATTTTTTAAAAATATATTTTTATTTAGTTCTGAGAGGAAGGGAGAGGGAGAGAGATAAAGCAATCAATGATGAGAGAGAATTATCAGTTGGCTGCCTCCTGCATGCACCCGATTGGGGATTGAGCCTGTAACTGGGGCATGTGCCCTTGACTGGAATTGAACCTCGGACCCTTCAGTCTGCAGGCTGACTTTCTATCCACTGAACCAAACCAACCAGGGCTCAATGATGTTTTTATGTAATGAGGAAAATCCCTTTATTTTGATTAAAGGATGTTAGGAAATGAAATAGCTTCAGATTTGTTTCCGTTGATTTGAATCATATTATATAAGCTTCTTAGTAAATTGTTCTGATATTGAAGAATCTCTTTGAAATGGACTTGTTTATATGGCATTAGTTCAAATATTGTTGCGTGCTCTCTAAATTTTTTGTACTTCATAAAACCTTTTTTCTTAACGAATGTTGTATGGAAAATCGTAGCTAACGTTGCTAATCTGAGGAATTCATTGGCTTCAGTCATATGTTTAGTAGGTTAGATGTGATTGACTATAAATTAGTTTTTCTATTTGTAAGGTCTTAGTTCTACAAAAGAGCGCAACTTATTTTATCAAATGATAAAAATATATCTCACTTTTTCTTTTTATAGAAAAGTTTCTTTTGATGCTACAATCAGTAAAGAGGGCATTTGCTATTGATTCTAGTCATCCCTGGCTTCATGAGTGTATGATTCGACTCTTTAGTACTGGTATGTTTTTGTTTTCTATTTCTGAAATATTTGTGACTGTATAAGTGATCTGTACAAGTTTACCATCATAAACAATCATTTTAGAACCACTGCATATTAAATTAGCTGAAGCCAAAGCAGGGTTCTTGTCTTTGTGTTGAAGGTCTTTATTTCTTAATGCTAAAAAATGTTACCTAATTTTGACAGAATTGTTCAGTTCAGGTATTTGCGAATTACCTTTGTTTCTGTTTGTAAAAGGTTACATGTAAATTGAAGTTTTGAATCATATGTTATTATATAAGCTTCTTAGTAAATTGTCCTGAAATTTAAGAATCTCTTTGAAATGGACTGGTTATCTCCTTATGTCCCTGTCTTTAGCACAGTTAAGTCATATAATTTTTGTTATTAAACATATATAGGTTAAAAAGAACTTTAAAACAATCGTACTTTTCAAATATTTTGATAAGATTCCACACATTAATTTTAATGTGAAGTAAAACTACAGAATTTTAGAGAATGAAAGGTGGAATTTTATGCTAATTATTTCATTTTATATTTGAAAAATTTGTGACCATTAAAGATTAAATTACTTATTCAAGGTAACAGATAACCAGTAATGAGGCAGGGATGAGAGCCCAGGTCTTCATATTGTTCTATCTACTACACTCCAGAGCTTTAAATGTAGATAAAGCACTCCTATAGTCAAGTAGTGCTGTTTTGGTTTTTAAGTGATTAGAGAAGGAGAAATGGAATTTTTACTAGAACAACTTGCAGAATTTAGAAATACTATTAGTTATCTCATTGCTTAAATCAGGGGTCCTCAAACTATGGCCCGCGGGCCACATGCAAACACAAATATTTTATTTGTTCCCGTTTTGTTTTTTTACTTCAAAATAAGATATGTGCAGTGTGCATAGGAATTTGTTCATAGGTTTTTTTTTAAACTATAGTCCGGCCCTCCAACGGTCTGAGGGACAGTGAACTGGCCCCCTGTTTAAAAAGTTTGAGGACCCCTGGCTTAAATACTCAGGCTCATATAAATCCATTCATTATATAAAATAATGAGATTAAACCAGGCATTTTAATCATTGTTTTGAAAATTGCTAAATTGTCCCAATTAAGAACATTGTTTTGTCTTCAAAGGAAAAAGTAAAGCCTTATTTAAATTACTAGAGGCTCGGTGCACGGATGCGTGCACCAACGGGATCCCTTGGTCTGGCCTGTGCCCTCTCGCAGTCCGGGACCCCTCAAGGGATGTCATATGCCGGTTTTGGCCCAGGCCTCTAGTATGCATCAAAGGTCATTGGTTAATCCCTTCCTGCCCTCCCCCCTCTCCTCTTCCCTCTGAGATTCATCAGTCTGTTCCATGTTTCCGTGTGTGTGTGTGTGTGTGTGTGTGTGTGTGTGTTGAGCATGTGCCCCCTGGTGGTCAGTGCGCGTTATAGCTACCAGTAGAATGTTCGAGTGGTTGTTCGGTCACTTAGGCATATATATATATGTATGTATATAATAGACATTTATGCTTGTCAAAGAAATGATTCCTGTTATAGAAATGGAATCATAGAAATGTTTTTCCTCAATCTTTTTAAATTCAGAAATTAGTAAATAATATACCACATTATACAAAATAGAAGAAGGAATTGCTGTTTTTAAAGAAAATAAAGAAGTTTCTTTTTGGTCTTTTTTTTGTATTAAAAAACTTTGAAATCATGAGTCAGAAAGTTAAAGCTAGAGATAACCGATCCATTCTTGGTTAGGATGGAATGCACTTAAACTATTTTCAAAAGTAACATACATGCTTTGTTTGTTTTTTTGTTAATCCTACCCAAGGATCATTTTTCCCATTGATTTTTGGAGAGATTGGAGTGGGTGAGAGAAACATCGATGTGAGAGACACATTGACTAGTTGCCTCCTGCACTGCCTCAACCAGAGTGGGAGATGGAGCCTATAACCCTGATACTGGGCCTATGACCAGGAATCAAACCCAAGACCCTTCGGTGCATGGGCCAATGCTCCAACCACTGAGCAACACCCACCAGGGTCACACTTTTGTTTTTACATAATCTATTCTTTCCTGAAAGGCAGTAAAATTATACATAAGTGCCGTGGAGTTAGAGACGTTCCTTTAAATATGAATTAAAAGTGGCATTTCTAAATGTTTTTGCTTTTAATGAGTGTGTGGATTGTGACCATTTTCTTGCAACAGTTTTTTCAGAAAATTAAAATGTATGTTAGCTATTCCCATTTCTCCAAGTGTTCAGCTGACATTGAGATTTACAAAGAGATCCTTATTTTGACTAAATTTTAATACGGAAAGCAGTGATAATTTGTATTGATAAAGATTCACTATCTTCAAAAAGCCTTCAAGAAGTTGGGTAGACTGCTTAATAGCATTGATAAGAACAGGTGTGTACTTAAACAGAGACACAAAATTGGGGCAACTTTGTTATAACCCTTTAAATTAAGTTGAATATACAGCCATAATGGCAGTAAAGCTAAATTCTTTAACAAGTAGCTCCTATATTTGAACCACCCAGTTCTTTAGAATGATAGAAGAAATGCTGTTTAACCAACAAAGGGCATATCAATAAATTATTCAGTTACTAATTATGTGTAGAATATTTTACTTAAATATTTACTACCCAATAGTTCAGTGTATTTTAAACTTAGGGTAGTGGCCCATTTTTGAGACAATGAAAGCAATGTAGGGTTCATTACCAGCATTTAAAAACCTACAATAAAAAATAAAGTAGAAAATATCAGCCTGTGTTGCACAAAGTTAGTGATTAGTATTCTGTGAAACTTTAGCTTCACATAATTTGTGTATATAGGATACATATTCATTAGAGTACAAATACTTGGTTATAGGCAGAGTTTGAAAGCCACCACCATAGTTCTTAACCAAAGAAAAATCTATTTATATTTTTTATCTATGACAAAAATAGTAACTACAATTTATTGAATAGTATATAATTAGCTCTTTTAAATTTAGCCTTTCCTTCCTATGATCATTCTAGGTTGGATATCACTTCAATTTTATAGACTAACAGGTTCAGAGCCCTGGCCAGTGTGGCTCAGCATTTAGAATGTTGGTTCAAGGACTGGACGGTCACAAGCTCGATCCTACCTGTGTTGCAGGTGTGATACCCAGCCCTATTCAGGGTGCATGCAGGAGGCAAACAATGGATGTCTTGTTCTCTCTATTCTTCTTTACCCCCTCCCTTCCACTCTTTTAAAAATCAATGGAAAAAATATCCTCTGGTGAGGATTAACAAAACAAAACAGAAATAGGTTCAGAGAGGTTATGATTTGTCCAAACCGAGGTCCATACCCAGGTCTGTCTGGCTCAAAGATCCAGATTGTCTTTCTATACGAAAATAGTACAGGTGTACCTCGTTTTATTGTGCTTTGCTTTATTAGCCTTTGCAAATACTCGGTTGGGTTTTTGTTGTTTGTTTTTTAGAGGGGATGGGGTAGGGAGGGAGGGAGGGAGAAACATCAATGATGAGAGAGAATCATTGATTGGCTGCCTCCTGCACACCCCCCACCAGGGATCAAGCCCGCCACCCAGGCATATGCACTGACCAGGAATCAAACCATGACCTCCTAGTTCATAGGTCAACTCTCAACCACTGAGCCACACCTGGCTAGGCAGTATATACAGCGTTTTATTAAAAGTTGAGCAACTCTATCAGTACCATTTTTGCAACAGGCTCAGATGATGGTTAGCATTTTTAGCAGTATAATATTTTTTAAATTAAGAAGTACTTTTTTTTTTTTTTTTGCCGAACTGGTTTGGCTCAGTGGATAGATGCGGACTCAAGGGTCCCGGGTTCGATTCCGGTCAAGGGCATGTACCCTGGTTGCAGGCACATCCCCAGTGCGGGGCGTGCAGGAGGCAACTGATCGATGCTTCTCTCTCATCGATGTTTCTAACTCTCTATCCCTCTCCCTTCTTCTCTGTAAAAAATCAATAAAGTATAAAAAAAAGAAGTACTTTTTTTAGACATAATGCTTTTGCACACTTAATAACTATAGTATAATATAAACATAACTTTTAATGTACTAGGAAACCAAAAAATTTGTATGACTTGCTTTATTGTGATATTCACTTTATTGCAATGGTCTGGAACCAAACTTGAGATATTGCTGAGGTATGCCTGCGAGGAAACAAAGCATAACTAGGATGCAGTCCAGAGAGGTGTGGGGGTCAGCTTTTCTTTCTCCAAATCCCAAGACCTGGGAATGTGATGGCTGCATGTATTCATTACAGGAAAATATTTTGGTGGTCCTTTGAAGTTTATTCTATAGTAATAGCTCGGTTCACATAGCCCCTGAAAATAAAGGTTAATGAAGTCAACCATGTTTTCTTACAACACCGATAAGTTTGTTATGCCTTACTCGGTTGTAGAATAAGATGGAGATGGTGAGGAAAATTCTGTTGGTTTCACCACCGCTATTTGCTGTGACATTATTTACCAGTAGGTGCCATCAAGCCTCTGCTTTGCAGATTCCCTGTAAAGTTAATGGGGGCAGCATGTAGGAGTTTTTAAGGCTGTGGAACTACATCTTTTATCATCTATTTTGCTTTCTGTTCTTTTCTGGGAATGAATCATCTGTCAATGAAATGTTTTTGAGTGATGACACATACATTTGAAATTCTTTAAATTTATATAGGTAAGCTCTTTAAATGTTGAATTGCCTTTCGATTTGTTGTAACTCCTACAAACTTTATCAGACTTTTTACTTGCTAATAGAATTTGTTTTTAATTTGTTCAGCAGTGTGTGACAGTAAAGATTTACCTGATGCAGTTAGAACAGTATTAAAACAAGAAATGAATCGTCTTTTTGGAGCAACGAATCCAAAGAATTTTAATGAAACTTTTCTGAAAAGGAATTCTGATTCATTGCCACACAGATTATCAGGTAATCACTTTATTTTATCCTAATCATGGCCGCCTAAGACAACTTCATTTTTTATTTTAATGGCTCAATGACGTTACACATTTTTCACGTGGAAGAGGCAATGTGTATATGTCAAATTTTAATCCATGAAAACAGGCAGCTTATATACGCTTCCCATACAATTTTAAATTTCCTAGACAAAATTATGACTATGAATCAAGGTTAGTAGTTTCTCCTGGCTCAGCATAGGCATTATAGAAAAGCAAGTATATCTGAATTTAGCTATAAATTACATACAATGAAGGAGAGACTTTCTACTTCTTTCTCCCATCAGAGTATTCTTAAAATTCACTTGGATGTGACCATCATCCTCCATTTCTCATGTGTATGTAAGATAGCAAGGTTGACAATGCTAAACACCTGAAACCATCCCACAGGCAAGGGCCATCTGGCAAGAGTCTGTGCTAGCAAGCTAAATTCTGGACAAGATGGGATCATGTTGCTGGCGGTTTAGTAGGGTGCTTTAAAAATACCTGGCTCAGTGGATAGAGCATCCGCCCATGGACCAAAAGGTCCCGAGTTCCATTCCGGTCAAGGGCAGGTACCTTGGTTGCAGGCTCCTCCCTGGCCCAGGCCCTGGTCAGGGCTTGTGCAGGAGGCCTCCAATTGATGAGTTTCTCTCACATTGATGTTTCTTTCTTCCACTCTCCCTAAAAATCAATGGAAAAATATCCACGGGTGAGTATTAACAAAAATAAAAATCTGGCTAAGAAACCCAGCAGTTTTGTATGCCTTTGTAGAATTCTCAATTCAGATTTTTGGCTCATATCGTCAAGGTTAGGTATTCCCTTAAACCCCCAAATTATGCTCATTTTTGAAAGAAAACTATCCAGGGCCTTGCCACACAGAGACAAATATTATTAGAACTATAGGCCCGGTGCACAAAAATTTGTGCACTCGGGGGGGGGGGGGTCCTTCAGCCCGGCCTGTGCCTCTCACAGTCTAGGACCCCTCGGGGGATGTCCACCTCCTGGCTTAGGCCCGCTCCCCTGGAGGGAGTGGGCCTAAGCTGGCAGTCAGACATCCCTCTGGCAGCCCAGGAGCCCTCGGGGGATGTCCACTTGCCAGCGGGGAGCAGGCCTAAGCTGCAGTGGGACATCCTTAGCGTTGCTGAGGAGGTGGGAGCCTCTCCCGCCACCACCATTGTGCTGGTAGCTGTCAGCCTGGCTTGTAGCTGAGCAGAGCTCCCCCTGTGGGAGCGCACTGACCACCAGGGGGCAGCTCCTGCATTGAGTGTCTGCCCCCTGGTGGTCAGTGTGTGTCATAGTGACCAGTCATTCTGCTGTTAGGATCAATTTGCATATTACCCTTTTATTATATAGGATATTTGCATTTCTTAATAGTCTCTCTTACCTTAAACATTCTTTTTTTAAAATTTTTATTGTTGACTATTACAGATGTCCCTCATTTCCCCCTCCCTTTGCTTCCCTCCATCCTGCCCCTGCCCCTCCTAGGCCTTCACCTTCTAGTTAGGCTATTTCTGGTCTATCCTCTCAGAATTAAAAAATAAATGACACTGTTTCAAATGGCTATTCTTATTTTTCTAATAAAGTGTCACACTTTGTGCACATATGCCTATATTTGAATGCATGGAGGATAAGATGCTGATTTTTATCTTGAAATAAAACAAATTTTTGTTTTTCTTCTCATTTAGCTGCCAAAATGGTATATTATTTAGATCCTTCTAGTCAGAAGCGAGCTATAGAGTTGGCAACAACACTTGATGAATCCCTCACTAACAGAAACCTCCAGGTAAAGAGTTTTTTATAACCTGTCTGTACGAGTACCTGACTACTTTTTGTTCCTCTTTTTATCAAGAGAAAGTTGTCACAAATAATATTTTTGTTATTTATGCATTCAAACTATTACGAATCCATGTCAGAAAGTTACCTAATCTTAAATTTATTTAGTATTGTGTGTTTGTGCACACATGCATAGTTGAGTACTTGGCATTTAATAACTAGTTTCACATCTGTTACAGTTTTTTGTTTTTTTTTTAGAAATATGTTTTAGTAAAAGCATATATACATTTCAGGGTTAATTTTGGATTTCAATTCATATCTCACATTTCTTAACAAGCAGTGGTCTCAATAAAGATTCTGACATGTTTAAAATGTATTTAGCACGGGTTGAATTTATATATTCATTTTATAGCTTGTAATATAACATGAGATTAAGGAGAGTGAAAGAATACGGGTATGCTGAAAAATACAGATTGTAGTTTAAACTAAAAGCAAAGGACAGCTACTTTGTATGATGAGCAGCCAGATTTTTAAGAAAGCACTTGCTGAAAGAGTTAAATATTTTCCTTTAATAGCAAATGAAGGAATGTCTTTAAGGGGAAAATTACACTTCTTGGTTGCTAATTAATGCAGCATTTAGATCAGAGCATTTCTAGACTGGCAAGGTTTATAGGATATATATCTGGAAACTACATAGTGTTTTCCAAGTGGGACGATGAAAGAAAACATGAGAACTGCAAGTCAACACAAATCATTTAGAAATAGAAGCAGCAGATGTACTTTGGGGTTTGGTTGGAAGAATTATCAGTTTTCATGAACACATTTTGTTTTTGCATTTATGCCCTTTGTGTTTGAGATGCTCTTTCCTGCTTAGTTATTGGACACATCTTAAGGTTCTCTTTAGTTTGAATACAAGGTTGAAAAGCAGTGTTCGATTTTGCCAACTGGTTCTTAGCCTCCAAAAAAATTAAAAGGCTTAAGTGCATTAATTGATCTTGGCATGTGAATTTTGACATATACAGGGCCAAAAGAAGCCGAGTCAAGGTCGTTGCTTAGGATTCAGCACTTGCTGAAAGTGACCGTCTCTTTAAATGTAGCACTCTATATACCTTGATTGCCCAACCTTAGTCCTGGCCCTGCTTAAACATTCATCCTTTATATAAACCCTGCAATTCTGAAGAAACTAATTCTAAAGGAATATATATGTGGGAGGAAATGCTCTTATTTATCTTAAATATGTACATTGGCCTCTTATTTAGAAGTCTGTTGATAACAAAATGTCAGATTCACAGTAAAAACTTTTCTTTGGATAACATGACCTTTTTTCTTTCTTTAGACCTGTATGGAGGTATTAGAAGCCTTGTGTGATGGTAGCCTAGGAGACTGTAAAGAAGCTGCTGAAGTTTATAGAGCAAATTGTCATAAGCTTTTCCCTTATGCTTTGGCTTTTATGCCTCCTGGATATGAAGAGGATATGAAGATCACAGTTAATGGAGATAGTTCTGCAGAAACTGAAGAACTGGCCAATGAAATTTGAACATCATTAAACAAGCAAATGGAATGACTTTGGACCATATCTAGTATATAATATTTTTGTCACGCACCTGCTGCATTGCTCTGACTTAAACAGAACGAGAAGAGTAAATGTTCTTGCCTTCAAATAGTGTTTTAAGTTTTTTATCCTGCTGAGAAAGTATATATAAAATACCTAACATATTACAGGATATAGGTTCAGTTTCTTAAAAAATTAAAAGCTGCTAAAATTGAGGGGTTAAAAAAAAGAGACCTATCTTCTTCCTACCTACCTACCCATGTTTTTAAACTAATTTATATAAAATCTGGAGGCTGTTACAGCTAACAAAGCAGGTGTGTGGCAGAAATATTACTTTAAATTTGTCTTGTGAGATTTTACTATATCTCAGACAGCATAAATGCTGTTTTAGCACTGGATTCTTTCACTGAGCACAAAGAGTTGTTGGGGCTTTAGCATCTGACTGGTTTTGTTATGGGGTTGATTCTGGCCATAGGAAGTATGCAAATGTGAATCACTATTTACAGAGAAACCTACAACAGATGCTTGATGTTGTAGAAGCTGGGACATAGAGATACCAAGCAGAATTCTAAGAAACCTAGAGGGTGTTCAATACGCTTGTGTTTCCAAAATTCACTGTACATGATCAGTTTGGCGTTCTTGTACCACAGTTTTTTTAACTGAAGATACCAGTTGGAACAATCAATTTTAACTAAAACTTGAAGAACTAAAATAACAATGCAACCCTTTCAGCATTGTTTTGGCCAAACTTGTTAAAACTGTAATGCAAGAACCAAATGCACTGTGATAATGGCACCAACTAATTAGCAAGCATGAATTTTTTCACCCAGAGTGAAAAAAGGAAATCTACCATGGCTTGAAGTTAAAGAGCAGAACTCCTGACTACCATTCTATGACTGATCAAGAGACTAATAGTTAAAAAACCTCAGCAGGCCTTGTTCACGATATGCAGAAAAAAAGTGCTGCAGTTTAGATACCTCTGGAATTTTTCCACAGTGTCACAGGTTTGTAATACTTGAAGCCCTACATTTCTAAGAATATATTTCTTGCTCAGTTGTTTCAGGCAAGCCCAAGACTTTGTAATTTTTAAAGGGCCCAAGATTTTTTTTTTCAATAACAGACCAGCTTCTTTTTCCTGCAGTTACAGATGTAATTTCCTTTTTGTTGTCAAAATGAGGTACCAAATATGATGCAATAAATTGTTTTGAAAAACAGTTGTGTGAATATTTCAACTAATCTGTGTTGGGCTTCTGTGAAAATATACAGGTGGAAACAGAGGTTGCAAGCCAGAGGCGCTGTAGTATGCTGGAAGGCTAGTGCAGATGGGGGCTCTGCAGAATGGTCTAGTGCTGGTGTCAGGGAGTTCCGCAGTGCAGGCGCAGGGGGTGCAGGGCCACTCCAGCACACTTCACTCAGGGCTGGGATGGCCGCAGGTACTATGAATGCAATTTGTAATTAATAATTTGAAAGGAAAACAACTATTATTTTGATTGAGGAAGTGAGCCTTAATATGTTAAATCTATACACTGAGAACCAGCCTCTGGTTCAAGGTTCTCACTGTATTTGCAAGATTTGAACAAATAAGATTAAGTGAATCAGTTGTATGTGTAATTGGCCTTTTTTTCGGTACCGTTATGGGAAGTATATTCTAAAGGGAATTTTTAGGAGACCCAATCTTTCCACTGATTGGACAGTTGTGCTAAACTCAACCTTTCATAGTACATTCCTGCATTCCACATCCCAGTCTAATAATTCAGTGATGTAAAGAAAAGTATAAACTGAACTCGAGTGCTTTGTTATGTTTTATTAACTGGCCTTGTCTCAGGAACATCTTAGCAGATGGCAAAAACGCCAACATTTTTTTCAACTGTGAGTGGCAGCTGAAGTTCTTACTGTTGGGAAAGAACACTAGTGCTACCTCTGCCGCTAATGAGGTGATTGGAGGAGGCATCAGCCATATGATAGGGGATGTATGTGTGAATTATGTTTAAATTCTACTGTATATTGAAATGGAATTATATTTGTTTTGACAATGTTGAAATGATGTAGATTGTCTTAGAATGAATATTCATAAGTACTCAACTCTCGATGCAGATGCCACCGGTGAGGAGTTAAATTCCTAATACATATATTGTAATTCCAACCCAGTTTTACTGGAACTATTGAATAAATATTTTATTTTCTTTCAGGTTTACTTGATAGTGGATACATTGTCTGGTGTTAGGGGACCTTGACAGGGTCCATTTTATGTCCAGACATCACCCCTAAAACATTGTACTGTACTATTTTGCCCTGAATAGTATCAATGGGGTCATCTCATTTGCCTCATTTACTCTATTAATTCCAAATGATACTGTGGGGGGAGGGGGGAAAACAGGGTTAGAAAACAAGTGGAAAAGAGAACGCGGTGATGTTATAATCTAAACAAGTGCCTTATGTTTATTGCTAAGAACTGGTGTTATCAACCCTTTTGAGAAGAAAGGGTCCCTTGACCTGTATTAACATAGGAAAGTAAAGTTCTTTCTGTTTTTCTTCATATTTACTACTCTTGTCATTTCTCATTTAAAAGTTAAAGTCTGAGTAGGTTAGTTTACTCAACTTTAGATAGTTGCATCATACATTTTCAACATTTTTCTGTATCTATTATGCACAAGAATAAAGTGTGATCTTTAATAGCATGACTAAAAGTAGCCCCAGCATTAGTGAATAGCTTTCCCATGAGTTGTACGGGCCCTTGTTTTTCACAGAACTGTTTGTCTTCCATGGTGTGTTGCTGTTAGAGCTGTGAAATGAAAGCTGTGTTGATCAGAAGAGACCAGGGAAGTGTGGTCTAGATTCAGGTAGGTTGTGATAAATTCAGGGAAGTCTCTTCTGCACAATTTCTAGGAATATTCTAGTTGCCACGTGTAGCATCTGTTTAGAAAAAAGTAAGTGAAGTATTAGATTTTCCTACAAGATACCTATATACTTGTCTTAGTAATTACCAGCCTTAAATTTTGAAATTACTCAAGAGAATTCCAAGAAAGACTGACCCTTTAGATGGGAGATAGTCTTGTTGTGGCTCATGCTCCATTTCTTTAAGTTACAGACAGGGTTTCTTGATACCATTCTAGATCTAAACTTCACCGAATCCACTGCCAATACAAAGTCCTAGGAAATGGCTATGTTGCGCCATTAGAAGCTGAAAACTTAAGTTTTTGATGATTGGAAATCTCACAACTTGTAGCAATAAAACATTTTGGAAAAGGTTATTTGGACCTTTCAGTATGTGACCTTCAAGAGGGATGTTGAAATAAAGTATTGGTAGTATGCAGGAAGTTGTGAGGAAAATGCTCTTACTTTGATAAAACAGAAAAATTAGACATGCTCTAGATTATACAGCCTACTTAACACTGCTACCTCCTTAGAGGGACATACCCCTCTTACGATACAGTAATGGGCAGAGGAAAGGGAGCAGTATGTTGTAGGAAAGAGGGTCTAAAGGCTTCCAGCCTCTCAGTTTATCCAGTTGCCTTTGAAGTGATGCCATCTTGGAATTGTAGCGAGAAAAAAGAATTGGTACTATTTAAATGAAAACTTTACTAAATTGTTGATTAAAGGCAAGCTTGGCATCTCAATCTTTAGTGCTCTTTATAGAGCTCTATTTGCCAAAAACAATATAGGCTTTGTCTCAAGGCTGCTTGCAGCAAAAGTAAAGTTGATACTGGGCTCTCTAACAAGACCAGTGCACGTCTTACATTTTTATACCAGGCTTTTCTTTGTGTCTACATTAAGGGCCGATTATTTCATACAAATGGTATAACTTCCTAATTGAAAAATTGATGGTGATGAATAATGATGGAAATTTTTTAATCTGTTATACAAAGATTTCTGCTGTTGCTGAATCTTCAGCTTGGCCTCAATAAATACAAATTATTGTCTCCTTTAGAAACAACATAGGAGTGAAGAGATTTTTGGAATATGTTCCAGATCCCATGGTTTGTGTTGAGTCAATCATTACACTTGCCTGATCACCTGTACTTTGTGTAACAAACAAAAGCCCCTCCATGTCATTCCATGGCTATTTTTACAATCAATTATGGTTTCCTACCATTGGGCTTTCATAAGCTTGCCACTAGTTTACTTTGTAAGTTTACTGGGTCCATTTTCTAGTGCTTAATGTCTCATTGCAAGTAGGATAGGGTTTTCTATCCAAAACTCTGGTGTTTCTTCATTAATGATGAATAACTAAATTAGCTACCATCTCCCTTCTTGTGAACTACCTTTTTTAAAAATATATATATTTTATTGATTTTTTACAGAGAGGAAGGGAAAGGGATAGAGAGAAACATCAATGAGAGAGAGAAACAGATCAGCTGCCTCCTGCACACCCCCTACTGAGGATGTGCCCACAACCAAGGTACATGCCCTTGACCAGAATCGAACCTGGGACCCTTGAGTCCACAGGCCGACGCTCTATCCACTTAAGAGCCAAAGCGGTTAGGACTGAACTACCTTTTTGCCTTCAAGGAGTCATTGCTGGTTGATTACTTTCAAAATGAAAAGGGGGCCATTTATAACAGATCTGTCTCCTAGATCCTTTAAGTTCTGAACTGTGGAATACTAAATACTAATTCTTCCCTTTATTAACAGTAAAAAAAATTACTATGCATTAATAACAATAATAGAAGCATTCAGAAACACATTGAGCTAGCATTGTTATACTGTTTACATTATTTGCTCCGTTGTTCATTGAAAAGGACAGAAAAATAAGCCAACTGCTTCACTTGTATTTTTTTATAACTTAAAAATTTTACTTCAAGAGCCTAGTTGTTATTTCAAGCATTCAGCATTTTTCTGACAAATGTCTAATTATAATATGAAGTTAAAAATGATTAATGCTTTGGTTCAGACTCATGTAAATCCATTTCTAATGTAATGTATGAAATTTCAGGATTTACACGGTACATTTTAGTATAAAGGTATAGTGACTAGGAAAATACATAGTGGATATTCAAATTCTTGTTAAATTTGCTGTAAATATTAATATTGCTCTACAGATTGTAGAAAATAGCAATAAAGTACTATTAACTTTCAGGTCACCTGTAAAGGCTCACAAATTTTTTATCCCTTATGTGTTGAAGTATTCCCATTTATCTTCCCCTTGTCCCTCTCTGTTGGGCTTTAGGAATTTCTTCAAAATAACAGATTCATTATATTTAGGTCGAATGGATTTCTCACATCTAATTTTTGTGTCTGCGCCCCCCCCCCCCCCCCGCCCGCTTGGTTTATCATGAATGGTTGTGACTGGCCTTGTAGGAAGCAAATGACTGGAAGACCATCCTCTAACTTTTCTCAGTTGCCTGTTCATTGTGGCATTTAGTTGGCAGTAAATCTATTCATCCTTCATGTCTTTAGCAACCAACCACCCAAGTAACATGTTCAGTGGAATTAAGTTACTACAAAGGTTGTCACTCAGTAATTGTTTCTCATCTTTCAAACAATGTGAGGCGAGTGTTACACACCAGCTGCTTGGAGAGCTGTTTTCTGCAGTCTAGTATCTCTACTTTTAATCATGGCAAAAAAGGAGACGGTAGGGATCTACAGGTTACTTCTAGATACGATCTACAGCCAGTGTTCATCATAAGTAGTTGCTATGCTCCACCATTGGCCTCTATTTAAGATAGACAGTTGAGTCCTCTTACGTCAGACAACCCTGGTTGTGCATTGGAATCCCAGGGGAACTATTCTAAAAACACAAACCTCGATGCCCAGGTCTACCCACAAAGATTTTGATTTAAATGATCAGCTTCTTTAGAATCACTACTCCAGTTATTCTAAGTTGCATCCAAGGTTGAGAATCAGTGTGTTTGCTTAGAAAGAATTTTAAAACATAGTATTGGTTTTTTTTTCTCAAAGAGATCAAAGAGGCAAAAAACTATGTAAGGATGAAAAGTAACTACCCCATTTCATATTAAGGGAAAGAACTTGTATTTGAATTTTCTGTTAAGAGCAGCTGGTTAGTTTTAAAGTGCATGCTTTTTCTTACCTAAATCACCTCTTCAAGGTTCTGTTGGATGTCATGGTAACTTGTCTCCGTTGAGGCAACTGTTGAAATGTAATTGCCATAGGTAGATGCTTGAGTTTTTTGAGTGGATGAGAACCAAAGCAAAGCACAGATAGCAGGCTTTTAAATAAGGTTGGTGGTAGGTACTTCTCCTTGAAGGACGGCATTTTTTATAAACGAGTGAATTACTGTTACAAATCAGATGTGGAAGCAACCGTGATTCTGGGACCCACAATTTCAATGTTGGCCTATAGGTGTAGAACCTGGAAAGGAGGCTGACATGCTACGGAATCATATATCAAACTAAATCTGCTTTAGAGCTGTTGAAATAGTATTCTGGATAGATGTCCCAAATCTACCCAATCTATTATTTTTCTCTTGTAAAATAGGAATTGTTTTTCATAGCCTACCCCTCAATTCTGTCTAGTTTACTCTTGACTAGTTAAAGAAGTTCATGAGTGACCCTGGTAGTGTTGACACTGTTCACATTCTTTTTATTTTTATTTTATTTTATTGATTTTTTACAGAGAGGAAGGGAGAGGGATAGAGAGTTAGAAACATCGATGAGAGAGAAACATCAATCAGCTGCCTCCTGCACAGCTCCTACTGGGGATGTGCCGGCAACCAAGGTACATGCCCTTGACCAGAATCGAACCTGGGACCCTTGAGTCTGCAGGCCGGTGCTCTATCCACTGAGCCAAACTGGTTAGGGCAGGCATATAGTTGTTTTTTTTAATTAAGTCTTTATTGTTCAGATTATTACAGTTGTTCCTCTTTTTCCCCCCCATAGCTCCCCTCCACCCGGTT